GACCCCCTCTTGCATATTTTCTTTTACATTGATTCCATCCTTTTTATTGAATTACAGGGTCTGACCAGGAGGTGATGCTTCTCTTTAGATCATAATGGCCATAAATCATGACTGAAAGAATGTTTTAGTCCAAAGATTGATCTTTAAAAAGGATTATTAGGGGAGCAGCCAAGGAAAGTGGGACATTTTAAATGGCTACTACTATAGGCTTTCTTAGGAAGTACAAAGTAAAGGTGGATTAAGTAGCCATTGAGATAAAGCTTTTATTATTAGTTTCCAAAGGTTGAGGTAAGGAATGTTCTTTTAAAAAACTGTTTTAATAATTAACACTTTAAAAAGACTTAAATCAATCATCCTCCTCCTGTTGCTTCAGAGTGCGTACCGGTCAGCAACCTCTGCCTGACTCGGCTCCTCTTGGCCTCTGGTTGGCAGCTGCTCCTATCTGAACTCCTTAGCTTTGTGTGCAAAATGTCATCAAAGCAGGATAAGAGTCTCACATCCTGGTCAGACAGAGGTGCATTGGAAAGTGTTCCAAGTGATCCAAGACAGAGAACATCTGGAGGATCTGTTGAACCCGGGATGCTGTTTGGCATTCACATTACATATAGCACGAGGACTTTCCCCAAAAAAATTCCAGGTCTGCTTTCAAACCAGAAAGCCACTAGAAGCTTCTCCTATTTGTGACACGGTGAGGCCAGAGAAGTGTTATCCACACCAATGGTTGAAAAAAAAATGGGATCAGACATGTCTGCTCTGCCCCCTATCACCCCGCCTCAAATGGACCAGCTGAGTGAGCTGTGGAAACGCTGAAAGATGGATTGAAAAAAATGACAGGACATTCTCTAGAAACTAAGCTCTCTCGCTTCCTTTTCCAGTACCAGATCTCTCCACACACCACAACAGGGGTACCTCCAGCAGAGATGCTTTTGGGGAGGAGGCCAAAGTCACACCTTGATGTCCTTCATCCAGACATCGCAGAGAGAGTGGTCCGGGGGCAGGACACTTATAAGCTGAGGCGGGATCAGCACACAAAAGACAGACTCTTTCAGCCAGGTGATCATGTGTATGTTATGAATTTTGCCAGTGGTCTGACCTGGCTGCCAGGAGTTATTCAACACCAAACAGGGCCAGTGTCCTTTGTTGTGGATCTGGTGAACGGCAGCCGGGTGCGCAGGCACCAGGATCACCTACGTGAGCGCCATGATGCAGGATGGGAGGGGCGTCAACGTGGGGCACAGAAGAACAGTGCATTCAGCCCCGCCGGCTCAAGAAGAAGACCAAGTCACACCTGAAGAGCCAGCAGCCCCGGGCACTCCGTTGGCCCTCAGGCCGACCCAGCTCGGGGAAGCACCAGAACCGAGGAGATCAATGAGGCCACAGAGGCCTCCAGACAGACTGACCTGGTAACACCTTATGTTAATTAAAAAGAAAGTAGAGCACTTTGGTTTCATT